TCACAGGAGACCAAGCTGTCACCATAGCAGCAGCTGAATGCAGGCTGTGCCCACACAGGCCCACAGGGCAGCACCTCTGAGAATAAAACTTACCAAGCATGGTGCTTCCTTGCATGGGGAAAAAATACAGCACAGGACAGTTAAGGGATGAATGTAGGGCAGAGGAGGAGTTGGACAAGTGATTGGTGGAAGCTGAGACCAGGCTGCATACTTGCTAGAGAGAAGAAAAGTCTCCTCATGGTTACATGCCTTTTCAGTGGGGCCACCGCTTGCCTCTTTTGGAGCAATACCTTCCCTCCAGCTCCAGCACACACATATTATAACCCACCCAGGACTTTTAGAGCTTTTTGATCCCAAACCAGCTGCTTTATCCCTGCCCGTCAGACCGATACATACCTCTCACCACTGAGGAGCACACAGAGACGGACTGTCACAAACCGCCACCTCCTTTCCTCACAGCCGCTCTGGGGACAGCACAAAGAGCACCAACCGCACCTGAGCGCCGAGAAAGGCAAAATCCATCAGTGCAGGCAGCTTTGAGAAATAAACTGTCCTGGTGGGGGAACACAGACATCTGGGGATGAGGTGGCAGGGCACAGAAAATGGAGTCTGGGGAGTCCCCTCAGTGCTCCCGGCTGCTGAGGTGAAATGTCATGTCTGCAGCCCCTGGTGCAGCGCCGACCGCTTTCTGAGAAGGCCTCTGTGTCTCAGCTCAGTTCTGTTCAAAAGAACCCTCACATGTAAGGAATGAGGCTGATATTAGCCATCAAATGACGCTTCTGGCTCTCCAGATGTCCCTCCCAAACCACCACAGTTCACAGACTGCTTTTTGGAACACGAAGGTTCAGCGGCAGCGCTGAGGGGAAAAAAGGCGGGTTTTTCTGTGCTGCTGGTCAGTGCCAGAAGAATGTAAAACTCTCTGAATTTAGGAGCAGCATTTTATACTATGGTTGAGATTCTTCAAATCATTAGTCAAGAATACCGTCCTTCACAAATTTTAGATATGCTTCAGCTAAAGGCACATTTTTAATTAAGATAGATTTTGTAAAGAAAAGCTCTCAGAGACAAGATGAGAATTTATGGCGCTCAGTTGCTAAATGAGTGCTCAGAAATCAATAATTTCACAGGCTGAGTCTGCCCAGCTTGGTGCCTGTACAAACACCACACGCATCTCTGCTGTGCAGCACCAGCAGCCTGCTCCTGCTCCCAGCACCACAGGATGCCAGTCAGCTTCCTTCACCGCCTTTGCTTCTCTTGTCTGCAATGTAGAGATAACACTTCTCGGCTCCATGGCGCTGCCAGATTTGATTCATGAATGTTTTAAAGCATTCTTTGATACTCACCCTGAAAGGTGCTTGAGAACCATAAATTATTACTTTAATATAGATAATAATTTTCATCTCGTGAATGTTTTATAGCACTACTCCAAATTCATGCCTGATATAACTCTAATAAGTTGAGTAGAGTGAAAACAGGGATAAATTTGGTACAATATATGAGGTAGCAAAATGAAATTCGATGTGTGAGACTGAGGACTTACCAGGGGGCATTGCATACACAGTAACATCAGAAACCTATCTCTCTGCCCACTTACCTACAGCAAAAATATCAGCTCATGGCAGTATTTAACTTCTTGAGGTCTGATCTATCACAAAACAACTCTTTCACATTGAAAACATAGTTTTCTAATATGTTGTATTGCCATACATGTGTAGTTTGTATATACTAATAATTAGTATACTTGATCCTGTATTTGCTTTCATGTTTCAACCTCAATACTTCAGTTGAAAGCACACTGTTTTTCACAGGAACAATCTTTTTAATAAGGCACTCCTAACTTCTAGTCCATAGTCATGAGAGCACAAGAGACAAGACTGGGAGGGATCCTCTGGGTCATACTCAACTTCTCATAAACAATCACATCATAAGCAGCCATGTATAAGACTTGCTAGGTTTTTTGTCTCACCCTCTAAAAAAATACTGTTTATACACTTCACTGCTGTGATACTTAGACAGATTCTTTTAATTTCCAGAACAAATCTCTTCATGGCCAGCTTAGATCTCTTCATTCTTGTGCCAGCCTTTTTATAGTTGAAATAGCTTTCCTCCTCCAAGGTCATCCAGCCCCTTGCGTATGTGTATATATATATATATATCTCCTTTATGTGTACAGGAAGAAAAACTGTATTCCTACACAGTCCTCATTTTGTTAGGCTAAGCAAGTCAGCTGCTTTTAGTCTCATTGTAAAATGCTTTCTTTATCCCTCTGATAATCTGTGTGGCCCATCTCTGATGAATTTAGTGTACATATTCATGTAGCGAGAGAGTCAGAGAACTTATTTTTTTCAGATTAAATAAAAATGCTGCAAATACATCACAAAGAAGACACAACTTTGTGAAAATTAAATCTCAGCGTCTGCTGGCAAAGCTGATTATGAAGAAGTGGATGTCACCCTAAATCCTTCAATTTGATGGGAAAATTTTATCAGGGGATTTTGAACAATAATTCTGGTATCATACTAATGAGGTCCTGTGGCTGAGCTGGTCTTTTTTATAAAAACAACATAATAAAGAAATGTGCTAACCAGCTTTGAAAAGGAAAAGAAAATAAACATAAATGATAGACATCTGCTATTTCACACATCAGTCAAACCCATGAGAACCTGAGATTGGTTTTATTTTATTCACCTTCTCCTTCATAATTGTGATTCTCAGAATTACTGCTGCTCTTCCTACAGTTTATTCTCAGCTCTGCCAACAGGTTTGGGCAATGAATTGCCTCTGCAGCTGGATTTCAGAGTTTCACCAGTGTTGCCAGTGAGTGATCCTGGCTGTTCTTGGTTCTCATAATCCCTATTTATTTCTTCCTTTCCTCATTCTTTCCTACTAAAGAAAATTTCCATGGAACTTAATAGGAAAGATAAGCATCTAAATTGTACATGATGATGTGCCCTACTGATATACCCGTACAGATATGGAAAGAGTACTTCATATGAAGTTTTTACATTTACAGCTATTATTACTAGTATACAGTCACTCTCCTGTAATCCTTCCTGTCCCCCCTGCAAGCAGTGTCAGATTTTTCTTTAAGTTGGTGGCTTATCACAAAATAAAGACTTGGATGATTCAGATTCTTTGACAATCTGTCTGCTGGACATTATGCTCACCAGAATATGCAATTTACTTCAAAAGTGCAACAGTTGTTACTGATGCTACTTCCTAGAATGAAAATATAGAATTATTTGAGCAAATTTTACTTATATCTGGAGTTGACCGTAAACCTTTAAAATACTGAAACTAGTTTGGTCAAGTATTACCTAGGCATCCACTCTTGTTTTTTTCCACCAATAGATCACCAAAGCACAGACAGAAAAATGCATCTATAGAGTTCTAAGTTGTCTTAAGTCTTAAATACGATTAGTAGGTAAATGTATACAGCTACAGATAACATGGACAAAGTAGAGCCACCTTTAATGGAAATCAAAGTTGTTCAGCTGGTATAAAAGCAATTTCCAATCAAGCTTGAGATTTACCAAATTAAGCAAATAACATTTGAGAAAGCAACGTGAGTGTTCAATGCAGATAGTTATTAAACAACTGATTAATTCCCATTATAAGGTGCAGCTGCAGTCTTGGTTTACCATGCAGAAGTAGAGATTGAGACAGTACCACTGCCAGATTTCCTAACTAGGTGCCCACATTTCCACATTCTGCTACACACAGTTGGGCAAGCAATCATTTATCTGTCTTCCATGTTAGTCATATAAATTGATATTTCAGTACAAAACCGTAAGATTCCAGGCAAATAAATAAGTGCACATATTATGCAGGCAGCCAGCTTTAGATACCAGCTTAAATGTTTGATCTATCACAATTATGGACTTTTTATTTTAAAAGCCCTAGTATTTCCTTGCAACATTGGAATACAAAAATCAAGTAACTAACGACAGTAAACCTAAGATGTTTTGCCATAGTAACTTTAGTGGCAATACCATTATTATGGTAGCTAAATACTAGTAATTTAATAAACATCAAATGAGGATAAAAGAATGCCTTTTTCTACCAGTTTTTCTTCATATTAGCATCCTCAATTCAAAAGTTCAAATATGCATAAGAGAACAGTTAGATAACTCAACAGCAGAAAGAGGAAAAACAGAAAGGAGTGGAGGAGAAGAGAGAGAATTACAGTAAAGCTGAAAGAGCTCCAGATGAAAGTGACAAACAGAGAAAACGTATTTATATTATTAAGATGAAACCAATGCAGGGCACACTATCAGTTGTCTGTCCCGCTCACCTTTGGGCTTGATCTTTCAGAGCATGACAGTAGAGAGGAGATTTTTATTTATGAGACCATTTTATTGCTTATCTTTTAAAATACTTAATACATGAAAAGCCTGTAATATGGAGATTTCTTTTATATAGTAGAAAACCAATGCACAACTACAATTACAATAAAAAAGGAAAACTACTCATAAATACAAACTGTATTATGAGTCTTCATACAGTCAAAACTCATGCAGGAAGTTCATAAACTCACCAGGGACCATCCACTGTCATTCATATGTCCTTGTACTGCAGAGAAGTTTTCTGTCTCAGCAACTTACTGTTTAATGGGCTAAAGTGTATTTTCTGGATGGAATGGTGTTGTGGAAGTTCTGTGGGGAGGCATGCTAAAAAAAGACTGCTTCCAAATACTAAAAGAGCCCTACTTAGTGTCCTGGTAATAGAGAAGGCCAACTTCACTGATTAGTTTGAAGGAAATTACATCACACCTTGAATGCTTTAGCCTTATAAGCAACAGTATGCAATAATTCCCATGGAGTATAATAAAACTGGAATATAACTTTTTTAAGCTTGGAGCTATTTGTGCATCTCCTAATTTCAATCTCTTACTCACTAATGATCCAAAATGTAGCATAATATTGTACAAAAATGTTTTCATTTCTTTAACTGTGCAACCCAATACAACACTTTGTGACACTGAGTTATTTTGTTGCTAGCTAGTGAACGAGCAACAAGAAAGCAGACCCCTTCTGAGTCCCTCCATTGATGACTTTCTCTGTGAAACTAAACCAGAAGCTGTTGCAAGGCCTGTAACTTCAAATACTGCAGGTAAACAAATTTCTGTACTATCCCTGAATAGAGATGAAAAATTTCTTTTAATTACTGTGCATTTTGTCAAGTGATTTCATTAAGTCACTTAAAAAGATTTGTTACCATTTGCACAAAATTATATTCTGATTATAATTGATCGATCTATTATTCGAAAAAATGTTGATCATTACTTTTGAGGTCAAATCTGGTGTGATCCCAGTCACATTCACTCCAGCAGATCTCTCAGTTTGAATTAAAGGCAACTTCAACTGGAAGTGTAAATCTATTCAACAAATCCTCAAACTTTGTTTTTGCAAAAATTTAACCTACAGGTAAGCCACATTTAATTTAGTTTATCCAAAGCCATTCTTTAGAAACATGTGCTTTATCCAAACCTTGGATGGGATGTCTGAAAAAAGGGGAAGAGATATCAAAACAGTTTATCCAGGCTCAGTTTGGAAACTTCAGTAATGAAAGAATTTAACAAATTTCTTTTCTGCTTTGTGTTGTGCTGAGATAGTAAAGCAGATAATACAGAGTGAATCCTGAAAGACATCTGAATTAAGAGAAATGGAGCTCCCTGCAGAAGTGCTTTGAGAAGATGGTCATCTTCTATTCAAAGCATTTGAGCTGACTGACTGATAGCATAAAATCAATAGAATTACTATGCTCTATTGCTATCTTATACAATGACTTGCCTTGTAATAAGCCATTTAATTAAAATCTATATACATGCAAATTATTAAAATGTCTAAATAACTACTTAACAGCTGCATGATTATCTTCACATCTAATTGTTATGTGTCTAAAGCAGTATATGAGTTCCAATAACAAAATTGGAACACAATTAAATGAACACTTGTAAATATTATTTCCTTTTAGGTAGCTACAGATATTACAGAGATGTTTCAGATAAATATTTCAGGTTGTTTAAGACTGTTGTTTGTTGTAAAACTAAATAGCCCATTTCTGCATCAAGTCCTCTATCTGCCTTGAGTATCAGATGTACTTAATAACAAAATCAAAGTTTTTTATTCTATGAAGACTGATGAAATTTCCTAAGAACATGGATAAAGCACTACAAGAGACAACACTAATTCATGTGCCAAAAACACCTCCCCTATAAACTGATAATGAAGAAGAAGCATTCCTTTCCTTTACATGCTAACGATTTTCAACTGTTACTCTTCAAATAACTCATAAATGAAAAACTCAGACTGAAGACTGGCTTACATACAGATATAGTCTTTACAAGCTAAAGCAATATATTTTATAATTATATGCAATATTTATCCTGAAAAGGACACACAGCAATGACATTAGATACATTATTCTTTTTTTTTTTTTTTTTTTAACTTGTTCTTTTTTGACAAGAGAAGTTGACCAAATTTGAGGCAACAGAGATTGCTTCCAGGAGGAAAAGATTACATTCTTCTGTGCAATAGCCTTCCGCACCTTGTTTCTTTCAGTACAGCAAAACCCTTAACTTTCAGAATCTCAGATCCTTTGCCAGTCATGATTTAGATCCACAGCTCTCTTTTTGTTAGGATCATATTCTCCATGCTAGAGCCAGCTCTGTTTGCAGCTTTTCTAGCACAACTTCTTTCTCAACTTTCATATGTATTCTGCATCTCTAACAGATACAGCCTTTGGAAAATTGTGGCATCTATTGGTTTTTGCCAAACTTTAACACATAGACGAATCAAACATAGCTCTTGTTTTCTCTGGTTCCTTTCCTATCTTAAAAAGATTCATTAACTTCACAAACTTCACATTTGTTTTGTCCAGCAATATATTCAATATTTGTGATAGAATCTGATTGCAATTCCTTTAATTGACACAAAACACACTTTATACTGTGATTTTTTGAAGAATCTAAAAGAAGACAGACTCATAGTGAACTAACATGAACTTGCCTCTCTATAGTTTTTAAGTTTTGTCCAGAAACACTGAGAGTGCAAGGTTAGAACATGTTTAACCTTACAGAATCAAATAATCATAGAATCATTTGGGTTGGAAAAGACTTTCAAGATCACCAAGTCCAACCATCAACATTACCTACTGAGTTCCATTACCAAAACACATCTTTAGTGCCACAAATCATTGGCTGATCTAATCATGCATAGTTCTAAAAAACTAAGGTGAGTTGCCTTCCAGAACAAGAAAGATGGGTTCATTTTTTTCAGAAATATGTTTTTTAAGTTATTTAAAGTAGTTGTTTAATGAAAATAAGCATAATTCAGCATCTCTGAAAAGAAAATTGCTCTCTCAATTAAATATTAGAGAAAGTTGTCCACTCTTCTGTTTTATTCCTTACTGGCAAGTGACACAACAGTAGTGCACTAAGCAACTTTTATCAGTACATGATAAGTTGTAGCATTAAACTAAATCTAATCTAACTGTTCAGTTGTACAAGAAACCTTCAAAACACAAGGAAATGTGGACTTAAGCTACAATCTTAAGACTCTCAGAGTGAAAGCCTTTCTTGCAAATCAGTTTTTTTGTAAACTTCATCCAGTTAAGCACCTGGAATCACTAGTTATATTTGAATTTGCTAGTCAGCAGCCTTAGCCTGGAAAGATACATCTACTATAGTCTAATACATTAAATCATGTCCCAACTAAGGAAAAACAACAACAACAAAACAAATGCGAGCTATTTGAATTAAAACAACACTGAATTCTAACATTTTGTCTCTAAGTATTATCAACAGGTCTGGATCTCTTGGATCTTAGTGAACCTGCCTTACAAACCCAAAACAAAGCAAAGAAATCAGAGAATCCATCAAGAGGTGAAGGCTTAAAAACTTCAGCCCACAGAAAGAAGACAGACAATTCTGACCTTATCAGTGTGGATACTGAACAGAAAGTTCAGACTGTCAGAGTTTCAGACAAGTCTTCACTAGATTTAGGTAAGAGTGTAGCTATTATATCAGTGTAACATAGCCTTGCTTAGCACAAGTTTCACCTTGTTACTAGCACAAAACAGTGAGCAAGATTAGACTTTTTGTTGCATTGCACTTTAACAGGGAGTGTACACTTAACTTTATGTAAACATTTTGCCTTTTTTGATACACCTATAAAATTGTCAGTAAATTCGCAAATCAAAATCTGAGTTTCCAAAAAAGAACTTAGTCAGGATCAGTAAAAGGCAGAAAAATGTAGAGGGATATCATGAGAAAAGAACCCACATTAGAGACAGGGTACACTGAGTGTCCTTTTCAGAACTGCAAGTGCTACAAATAATTACTGTCTTTTTTTAATACTGTTTCATCATGCATACTAAAGAAAAAAAGTTCCATTCTTGATAAAAGAGTTATACATTTGGACAAAAAACCCAAACACAACTCAATATCCTGCCAAGCATGACCCATTGATCAGCTTTGGAAAAGGTGAACTTAAATTAGTCCCATACAAACTAAATTACTTGCATTGCAATTGAGAAATTTGCAAGGTAAATGTAATTTATACCAAGGTAGGAAATTTCCCATTCATCAGCACAGAAATTCTTTTACAGAACTTTATCTTCAAACAGGAGTTAAACATCTCATTTTCACAAACATATGACTGAATCCTATTGGTTGCCTGCAGTCACTTGTAAATGGTAGTCACTAGGAGAAGTTCTATTTCTACAATCTGAATACAATACGAATACATTAAATATCACTGATTTTAAGTCAAGATTTCCACTGACATTCTGACTGCGAATGCTCTAACACCATACCAGACCCTCTGAAGAAAACAATTCCACCTCAGCTGAAACTAAGACACTGCCTTAAAAATCATTATTTAGCAAGTGTTGCAAATTACAAATATTTTTTCAGAATATCTGCAAGAAAGGTGCACAGCATTTGTGTATATTGGACCTTAATTAAAATAATATTTGGTGGCGCAGCTTCACAATTTCTTCTGAACATTTACTTAACAGAGGATAATTAATTTAAGAAACAGCGGTTTCTTTGAAAGATTCATATCTTCTTTTCTTATCTTTCAGTTGATATTCAGACACAGATTGAGAAATGGGATGATGTCAATTTTCCTGGAGACAGGAGCTGCAAGGTCCATCCTTCTGCAGAACGAACATCATCATCATCATCTAGAGCTCAATCAAAAGAGCTTTTATGGTACAAATTTTGCTTTCATTCTTTTTCTAAGTAACAACATTACGATATAGTGGCACACACACACACACACACAAAAAAAAAAAAAAAGAAAAAAAGAAAAGAAAGAAAGAAAAGCACATAAACTAGGCTGAAGTCTTGTAAAGTAGTGGTGGTTAATTGTTAGACAAAGACTGCAGTTACAGTCATGCGTCATTACCAAACCTCATTTTGCTTTTCTATGAAGTGGTAGAGAAATCATCTCCATTGCACTGTACTAGGTTCATGCCCATATATGCTAAATGCTTTACTGGTAAATTAGGCCTGATTCTGTTGCCTTAACTATTGTCTGCATGAGACCGAATAACTGAATAGCAGGAACACTCAGGAGGCTCCAGGCACTTTTGATATCTCTGAGTTCAACAACTCAGTTAAAAGAAATAAACTAATTGGACAGCATGGGCTGTAAGCCTGAAATACATAAGGCAGCGTATTAGCGTACAGTGATAAGTCTGTAAATGTGTTATTTCTAGGTCCACAGAAAATAGATCACAGTCTGAGCTGACTAACGTCAAGAGCACTTTCGACACTGATTCAACATCAGAACTAGAAGTAGCACCTGCAGTACAGGTAAGAGAGATTTGGTAGATTTAGTAACATTAAAGAGGCAAGTAGGAATTGTCCCATTGGCTAACTACTCAAATGCTGGAAGAAATATGTAAGGGATATGTTCAGGATCATTAGTTAAAATCCTTTTACAGATGAATCTCCACACAGGTTTCAAATTAATGTTAAAAAAACAGCCTAACTATTTCATCATCTCAAACATGCAGTTTAATATTGCAGGGAACTGTGACCTTCCTGTCCTAAAGGCCTCAAACTACAATTTACAGCAGCATCTTCTTTCCCTTCTTCCAGTTCTGAAATTTGAACATGTAATTGTTGCTTATCCCTGTAATATAGCTTTTTTCAAGGTCTCTTGGATAATCAGAAATACACAAAATTGGGAAATGACTAAGCTGTACATGAGGCCAACATTGGTTAGTAGTTTACCTCCACGAGTGGGACAGCAATGTGTTCAAAGAACTTTTTCTTGCTGGAAAATGAACTCCAACATAGAGGACTCTGGGCTGCAGGTCTGTAGATTTGCCCAGTTCAACTGTCATAGGGTAACTGTGAACAGGACTTCGTAGAAATTTCTGAAAGTTGTATGGTATTATGTATGTATGTATGCATAAATATGTACAAACATACATTTATATATGCATTCATTTAGTTCACATCGCATATTCATCTTCTTTCCTGCATGACATTTCTTAACTAAAAGTTTTCAAATTCAGCTAATGCTACTGACAGGGGAGAGAGAGTTGTTCAGTGGATTCACTTCTAGTTAAACACAATTTTTCTTCTTCCACAGCTATTTTTATGCCTGCACTTGAAAAGCTTTCTGTCAGACAGAAAATCAAGAAATTAATGAAAGTTAATGGCCCCATTTGAAAATGAAAAAATGAGATACCAAATTGTAAAAGCCTGTCCTGAGATCATGCACTACTTTTTGCAGAAAACAGAAAGAGACTCATTTCTGTGTTGTTATTAGAGAAAAAGTCACCTTTTCTTCCCTGCCATTTTTACACTGCAAACAGGATTTTTCCCCCTTGGAAAGCCTAACATTAATTCCAAGGCATGATGTCTTCTTTCTGTACAATATGTATACATTTTAATGGAAAAGATCTGTTGCATAGCATCATCAGCCTTAGACAGACAATATGTTTTCACAAGCTTTGTCCTTCTCACCTTTAAGAATCCCAAAATACTTTTTCTTCAATCTAATAGTACATATAATAATAATTACTAGTAATAATTATGTTTAACTTCGATGTGTGTAAATGAAGTAGATGGTTCCAGAATCTAAGTGCTGCTGCTCTCTGGAAAAGCAATTGCAAATTTAGTATATAAAATCTCTAATTTATATGCCCATTTCCTGTTTATCTTCCACTAGAATAACTGCAAGAGCAAAAATTAGCATTTATCACTTGGTTTGGATTGAATCATCTGCATCTCCGTAGTATTTTGTAAAACAAACAGTATTTCAAAATAAAAAAAGTGTTAGGTTGAACCAGCCAACTTGAAGGACAGGCAGAATATAAAATTCCTATCTGATGCTTTAGCATATTTCATGTTTTGTTTTGCTTTATCATAAGCTGTTTCTTTTTCAAACTCCCAATCCCCTCAAGTCATGAAATGCTGACCTAGTAATTAATAATGCAAATAAGTGACCTGAAGTTCTTATTTTGGCTAGTTTACACAGAAATTTAGTATTTTCATTCACTGCCTGCTCTATCCTGCTTATATTTGGACTGTCAAAGTTGTCAGTTCCCAAAAACCAGGCTCATCTGTCTTGATAGAGTTCTTAATCTGCTTGTAAAAGAAATCACATTAGCGCTTTTATCGAAGCATATGTTTTCCATACTTTGTCCTCCATAGATCTTGTCTATCTCATTTAAAGAGTAACCTTTGCATATGCAACAGACTCTGCCTTACCCTAAAGACTTCATCCTGTCAAACTTGCTGCAGTTAGCTATCAGCAGTTTCTGAGACAATTATCATCATCACTCATCTTTGACACGTTAGATTTAGTTCCTCCAACTGAAAAACTAAGCAACTAGGTTACATTTTCTCATTAAAATTATACAATCTTCTTAACAAAATCCTGTGTTTACCAGCACTTATGTCATACAAAATCACACAGGCAAGCTCTGAATTAATAAGGAGGAAATGTGTTTGAAGGTTGGACAGGACAACAGCATGGTAGCTGTCACTGAATGTGGCCGACTTCCTTAGTATTCTGTTCACAACATATGTTCCCTATTACTTCTTAAACTGCATTGGACTAAGTAACTTTTTTCTTTCTTTTATCTGCTATAATGGAAAATTCCTTGTTACAGTTTTATTGGTACAATAATCCTACAGTGATGGGAGTTTCTGAAAGTTTGTTTTCTCTCTGACAATTCCAAAAAGCAAGAGGAGACAATAAGTTCATTCATATATGCATGAAGTCTGCTTATGTTTTAACTTTCAAAACGCAATTTAAATCTTGGTCCTCTCTAGGTATGTTAGATGTTGTATTGCTCATTCACAATGCATACACAAAAAACCTTGACATACTAAAAACTACACCTAATTCTACTACTTCAACACTCTTAAGACTGTATCCCAAAGACTGCAGAACATTAGAAATCTGCACCTTTGGCAGCAATATTTAGAATGCATAATTTATTCCCTAGTTCTTCCAAATAGCTATGATAAGACTAATGAATGGCCTGGCCCTTTTTGGATGTGCCAGTTACTCTAATAAAACTAAGTTACAAGGGATAGATTAAGCTCGTTATTTAAAGACCTGCTCAAAAGTTAAGACTATAATTTAAGCCTCTCACCAACAGTTAAAGTCCAACAGCACATAAGCAGACTACAAGCGCAGGAAAGTGTGCACAAATGTACTGGAATGGAAGATTTTGCCCCTGAAGACAGCAGCCAGTGATCAACTACAGCACCTCCGCTGTAGAGTGGTGAGCATATCAAACCACAGTGTATGCAGACTATCCATGTCTCAGACATACCCATTCCACCCTGACCCATAAGACATGTTGGGCTCCCCTTAGGGATGTGGCTGTAGAGTTTTAGTCCATCACCAGCTGGAGATGTGAAGTTCTTCAGTGCTGGCACTTCATTTCCATCCCTTCTCTTCCTGCACTAGTGGAAGGCAGCATGCTTGCTACATGCGGGTTTTTTCATTTCTGGATTATGGCAAATCAAAATATGACTGCATTGTCTATATGCAAATGCAGCTTATGTGGGCTTTTCTACTTCTGTCCCCTCTGACTGAGAGCAGGTGTGCATTTAATGGAGGAGGTGTATCCTATGTGGATTATGCAAGGAGAATGCATATGCTCTGACACGTGGCAGAGAAAGGAACTTCGATGCTTCTTTCTTATCCTCTTCCCCTCACCTCTCTACTCACTCTCCCCTTCTACAGTGCTAATCAGTCTAAGCATCATGATTTATGGTACTGTCTTTGACCTAAGGAAATTACACTCACTGGAAAGAAAGGATTCTAAAGCTGATGCAGTCAAAAACCTTGCAAGAGTCAACTCAGAAATAATGAAAAGGCAAGGAACATAATTAATGTCTATCAGCAGAATTTTGTGTCAAAAGCAGATTTCATTCTCTGATCAGATTACAGGTTGGGTTGATAAATGTTGCTCTGTGATACTGAACAAGATGTTTAACTCAGCATACTATATTCTGATTAAAAAGTTTGTAACTGTTAAACAGATTAAAACTAGCTAAATTTACGTTTTCAGGAACAGTAGTTTTTTACTAGGAACAGAAATCATATGGCAGAGTTCTTTGGTGACTGCAAAGAGAAACTATTTCTTCAATATTACTGATATGAAAATAAATATGCAAGCCACTGGTAAAAACTGTAAATAATGCAAGAATGGAATGGAGAAAACATGAGCAAGGCAGTCATGAAAATGAGCTGGTGACCAAGATACCTACATAACTAAGAATTCCAACACAACCACTTGAAAACTTATGTTTCTGAGTGACAATGCAGGCTCTATAACACTACACTGGAAGGCAATTCTGAAGAGCATTTATGTCTCAAGAGTGTATAGGGATGTCAATGAGTGCTCCCTGTGCAGTATGGTGACAAGAAAAGCATAGAGAAAAAGGCATAATTTCTGGGAACAGGAGATCTTTTGCTCACTTTAAAAAGAAACAGCAATATAGGTATTGGACTATAGCGTTCACTTTTGTTGTCTGCATGGCTATGCATTTAAGGTATAACCAATTAATGAGGGAAAGTAAAAGAAACTAAAAAAAGGTTAAAATCTGAAGAAAAAAAAGCCTCATAATGAGCTAAGATCTTAATCTCTTTATACCTTTTAAAAGACAATTAAAACCTAATTAAAGTAATGGGTATCTTTCTACAGAGAAAATAAGGAGTACTGAACACGCTTTAAACTACTGAAGAAAGGCTAAGAAGTAATAGCTGTAAAACTGAAATTAAAAGGAGTAAGAGAAACAAGGAGGTCAATTAAATTTCCAAACAGTGATAAGATTAAGGTCTCCTGATAACTTTAAATTAAATCCAAGCACCTTCCTCAAAGACATGCAATCCAGACAACCTCCATTTACTCTCTGTAGAACATCAGTTTCATCTTATGGGTGTGCAAGTGACAAATGCTGTCATATGATATAGAAACAGACTGTTTGAAACAGTTACATCTCCTGTCTGAAGTTCTATTTATTGTCAAAGTGCATAGGAACAAAACAGATATTTTAGGGCTAGACTGACACAGGTATGTCATCTTTTTAGTTAAAAAGGCATGGGTATACACAGAAAGATACACATCATATGAACATTCAGGAATGTACTGCGTGTTTCATTCCAGCAATGCATGTTTTAACACTTGCAGACACAGCCTCGTGTGTCTGAAATGAGCAAAATCAGTTTTTTCCATCAACACAGCTTATTGCAAATAAATATTATAACTACAGTCATCAGTAATATCATCATGTAAATTAATGCAGTTAGGATCACGGTCGGGCAAATGGCTAATATGAGTAACCTCTAACAAATGCAAGGGTAGAGATTAGCACTCAGAGCTCTCTTTCGCAAGATTAAGTTACTTTGTTGTTTTCTAAGTTATCAATGAATACTGTTTGTTTTTGTACTGTGCCTTTTATGCAAAAAGAATAAAATACTTTTAATAAAGAAATAGGGAGGAAATGGTTATATACTTCCAGTAGGATTGACAGATATTATGGTGCAGAATAGAGTGCTAATGGCTGTAAATTGGATTTATCCCTCCAGTTAAAGTGATAGCAAACCTGGCTTTCTAATGGGTGGAATGCACTGCCACAGTCATAATACAGAAGTAGGAACAATTAAGATAAAAGTCTTAACAAAACAGCCATCTATTCCCCTGTTAGCCCAACTCTTCCACTGTCTTTTCTTGGCTCTCTTTTGTCTTTAAAGCATCCTGAAGAATAAGAAGACTCTAGGAAAGACAAGTTATTCTCCTTTTAATGAGGACTGCTCTCTCTACAACATAGCAGAATTCTTGCAAGGACACAGCTGGTTTTGCCCAAGAAAAAGGACTTTTTCTGCTCCAAGCAGTTAAGGAAATAACTCAGAAACGTGGCAGAGTATATCATCCCATTCTGATTCTTTTATTTCTTTTTAGGTGCGATCAACTAAGGAGCAGCGTTGGGGAGGGCCTCTTCTCTCAAGAAATCACTCATTGGAAGAGGAATTTGAAAGAGCTAAGGCAGCTGTGGAGGTATTACTTCATTTACTCTTTCCCTCTTCAGCTAATGTTCTACAGATTTCATATTCATCTTGCCTCACAAATAGAGAAGAAAGTTTGTACTACATTTTTCAAAGCAGAGAAAAAATACTCTTCCTGGAGTTACTCATTTAAGATATCAGTTTCTCCATCTTACTCTAGCAAGTGGGTCAAGAAAATTCCCCATAAATGTAAGTACTTCCAAATTGAAGGTATAAGAGTGAAAAATATTTTTATCCCAGTAACTGAATGTGTGCAGTCACTCAGACACAAACCAACTCTCCACACTGAAACTTCAATTAAATATCATTGATAAAGAGAATGATTACTTGCTATAATGGGAGAGTAACTGCATACACAGAAGTAACCAATGAATTTTTATGATCAGTCACAGAATGTTAAGTACTGAAGCATTTCCTTTTCCTGATAAATAAATCCAGTTTGAAAAGGCACAGGTATACAGAAAGATACCACCATAGGTTCTCAATGCACATAAAAAATTGCCTAGCTTTACAAAGTTAAAATGGATACAGTAAAGTTAGCTGCTTTATAAACTATGCATGTAAGCTATATACTGAACACTGAACGTCATATACATTTGTTCCTGGCAGGAAAGGATAGACTTGCTTTCAGATTACCATTGCTTAAAGTTTTTCAGTTTTTCCTACTTATGCTGCAGTGTGATCTTTAAGGTGGGACATGTACTGAAATCTGTGACTGAGACACAGGGCATTAGTGATTAACATCTCTGCATTGCAGTTAGTTGTTAAGCAAATGGTGTCAGTACTCTTCTAATTGTCAGAAATCACATGTAATGGTGGAAACCAGACTTTAAGTAGAAAAAAATGTGTTTTGAGGCTAATAGAAGATCATAAAACATTACTGAATACCATTTAGAGTAAAATAAGGAGGAGAATGTGTTGTATAAAAAACCTGCACATTAAAAGGTTATTCTAATGCACCAAAAATTATTAAAATGCTTTAACATAGTCTTGAAAACAGCTACTTAAAATAATCCAATTAAATGTTTCTCTAACTATGTAACTGGCAGTCTAAGCAATTCTTTATACTTAAAATAGAAACTTGGACCAGGTAGTTAAAATAAAAAGAAGATTCTTCAAGACCTTACAGATATTTTCATTTGCATATGAAAAGAGCTGAATATTCGTTGTAGCAAAAATGAAGTGGTAAGAAATCCAAGGCAATTGAAATAAATTGAAGGCCATCTCAGAAAGATTAGTGCTTACTAAAGAAGAGAACAGATATGGTGTTCAAAAAATTCCTCTTTTAGGCTTTCTGTAATAGTCTTCAACTGGGAAAGCTCCAAATGGTAAGATTAGCCAGAAAACACATCAAGAAAAGGAAGTAAATCTCAGGTTCCTTGTGGTTTGCTTCAGAAAGAATTAATTAACAATTCAGTAAATGAAGACACCAAACTTTATCCTCCACCCAATTTTCATTTTAGAGCTTTGGGAATGGCTTTAAGATGTCAAATTTTGAGATAAATGAAAATCTGTAAGGCAATTCTTTCTTAAATACATTTAAAGATATCTATGTCATTGGAGATTCTTTAAAGAATTAAGACGTAAGTAAATTAGGGTTTGTTTTTGTTTTGTTTTTTTGTTTGTTTGTTTGTTTTTGTTTTTTGTTTCTTTTTTTTTTTTACTAAAGAAGGTCTAAATTCCCTTGTGCTGATCTGGTCTGTTTGACTTGGCTACCTTTTCTGTCATTCTGGAAACTAAATTTGAATTTTGCCACATTCCTTTGCTACACACCTGAGGGAAGCACAAGTAGCCTCATGCCATTATTTCCAAGTGCCATACATAATTTTTCCAGTAATTAGCTGCGTTTTACCAACAAGTGGGCACTACTGAATTTAAAAGAAAAAAAGCCAGTATGGGAAATCAGATCCTTTCTATAGCCATACTTATTGCATTTATATAATAATTACGTTTATGTAAATATTCGATTTATAAATTTATTATATTTATTCTGCACCATAGTATTGGAAATAAGTTAGAATTAAAATACATGAAACCAAGAAAGTGGAAAAACGTCCAACTGAGAAACATTTCAGATATAGAAAAAAGCAATTCTGATATTTTCTTATGCCTCATTTCCCTAGCATAGAGATGAAACTGCAGATGCCTCAGTGTTGTGAGGTTACATAAAGGAAACGTTAAGCTGTTCTTCTTAGCATCATTTTATTTACAAGCCAACGTAACATGAGACCTTGCTGCATAATGTACTGTTATGGAGCATCAGGACATATTACAGCTATATTTTGTGACAACAGTAGTTAGTAATAATTAGTAAGTGCACAAATTTAACATACTGTATCATTCACACTGAAGAACATATTGATGCAGTAACTCAAAGGAAGAACAACCACAAAGCCTTTGTTTTTTATGCACTGGTCAAGAAGGAACACTGCAAATTGAGTTTTGGCAGTAAGGGAAAGTTCTAACGGAAAATGATGAAAACATGGAAGTTCGTAACTTAGCTGTTAGTATTTCTCCCTGCCATTCTATTATAGGAAGTAAAGAGTCTGGGAATATTTTGCCTCTCATTTGTGTAACTGCTTCAGCATGTTTTTAAATACCAAGAGTAAAAATAGCTTCTTTGACAAAATGCAAAATATTCTGCATGGAAGGAAAAAGATGGCATGAAACATTTTCCCTAGTTGTCATTTCGCTCAGATATTACAGATTACCTGAGAATATGTTAAAATTGTTCAACTGCTCTGAAAACTTTTGGTGTGACCAAAGTAAATTGCCAGCATTAAGGTAGGAAAAACACTAAAACGAAGTAATTAGCACCAGTCACATAGTAAATGGAGTTAAAATTAGATCTAGGAGACTTGAGCCACAGCCAGATTTTCAGAAACACTCAATATTAATTTAAGCCCCCTGCCACTGAGTCAATGGAAAACTGCTACTCATAACAGCTAAAATAGACTTAGGTCTTTAATAAGGACCACGTAATATTTATGATCCTCTTCCTCAAGGACACTGAACTGCTCTGATATTGAAATTGTTGTTTGCCATGGTAATGTTATGGCATTTTATGATTGAGCATAATCCAGTTGCTCCACATAGCTTTGCCTCATGTGCTTCAGAAACCCCAAGTGCTGGATGCACTTCAGAAGCCGTAGCTGGTGCAGGAGCCCTAAGACTGAATGCTGCTCACAGGGCTGCTGCATACAAAGGAAGTGCCTGCTTTGCCCAACTATGCAAATCCCTGGTTACAGCTGCAAAATACCAGGTGGGTCCTGACCCATGTCCAAGTGGCACAAAATAAGTGACCTTACATCATAACTTCTTACTTCATTTTTCCTCCACTTTTAATTCATTATAAACATCAAGCATGGATACTTAAACATATAGTAATTCATTGGCTTTTTAAGTACAGTATGCACACAGTAAACTTCTGGGTGGGTAATAAATATGTAATTGAGCAACAGAATTCAAATTGAAGACCTAAAAACACCTACATCTTAAAAGTGTTTTTTTATATGCTGAAGAAACGTGATTTATATGCTTCCAAGTCACTGGGTTCTAAAAATGATATTTGATCTATAACTTGATCTGTTTTAAAAGGCGTTAATAATTACCGTATATATAGTGGTTATATTAATATTAATCTGCAGGAAAGGGAAATTTCCACTACCTTTCCACATCCTGAATCTCAAAATTACCTCTAGTAAAAACACGGTCAAGTAATTTTCATCTTCAATGCAGTGCAGATTTGCACTGAATGCAAAATAGTCCATGGAGACATTTGTTGAACAGGATAGTTAAAGTGATTCAAGTGCTTCTGCTCACGGTTGATAAAAGAGGGAGCAATCTGAATCTTTATCCCAGCCTTTTCAGTTCCTAAATGGACATTTCAGCACAATCTCACAACTATTTAGATGACTATATTTCCTTCAAATTTGGAATGAAAGCAACTTTTGAAACCTCAGAAGCAGAGTTGTCATCTTCTGTTTGCTTCTGTTAAAAAGAATGTAATTTTCTCTTTGGGCATGAGTGATTCACACTCATTTCCTAGTCTGCAGAGTAACATAGCAGGTATCTTCACAGATCTGCTAATTGCATAATTCATACAAGTCTGAGCCTCCTGGAAGGAAGTGCTGGATATCCAAGGGAGGTGATACAGCAAGAACCAAAGGGAAATGCCTGTTAGATTTGTAGGGAGAGAATGTACATTGCTATTGTAAACAGCATTATGATTTATAGCAATTGCACCTACTGACAGTGGCTGTGGGTTCTACACTTTACATCCATACTCAAATATTCTGGCTGCTGACTCATTCTAGATCTGTTAACAGCCTGCATTTTCCTTTTTCCAAGTGCCTGAGGAGTAGAGTTGGGGCAAGTCACGCATTCACAAATTAAGATTTTGCAAATCACGCCTGGCTGCAGAACAGTATCAAAAAGCAATCAATCTTTCAATAGAGATTCAGACAAAATTGTGTGAGCAAGTTTCTAATATCTCTAAATAATTTCCTATCTTATCCTCAAATAGTTCTGTCTATACCTCAATGGAATTATTAATTCTCTGACATAACTAAACTGAGAAACTGCACTCTCAGTAGTGTCAGTTCACTGAAGTCCTGGCCATGCCCTGAAGGAACTGGGGAACTTTGCAAAGGCTTGCAGTGTTGAGCACGTATTCTGCTATCGCACTGCTTTTCAGTGTTTATAAGTAAGGTGAGGATGCTGAAGAAACAGATGTTGGGAAGAAATTCTCTACTGTGAGGGTGGTGAGACATTGGAACAGGTTGTCTAGTGAGGTTGTGGACACCGTCAACCTGGAAGCATTCAAGGCCAGGCTGAGCAACCTGTTCTAGAGGGAGGTGTCCCTGCCTATAGCTATGGGGTTGGAACTGGATTATTTTAAAGGCCCTTTCAAACCCAAACCATTCTATGATGCTATGAATATTAGGATTTCCCCACTATGTCAGAAGACCCTATTTACATTAAATATTTTGTCCACACGCTCTCTAAGCTTGGTGATTACTCTTTTACATAGTAAAAACGATGCTGAATCCATCAAAGTAGAACACTTGTTTTTGTTTGTTTTTTAAAGAAACTTTTAACTACTGTTATTCTTTAGCATGTATGCTTAGGGTTTGTTTTTCATTTTGGCTAGGGATGAGCACCGTTCATTGCCTTCAAATTTTAAAGTAACAATTTACTGTTAGCATCAATGAGATGCACTGTAAACTGCTGCAAATCCTGCTTCAGACAGAACATATGCTGCCTCTGAGATAAAGAGACTTCTGATGAAGAAATACATTCCAATATAGGAGATGAAATTTAATTATATGAAATTCCATATTTGCACTGGCTTATTTCAGTCAGCACAATTATTAATAGAATGAACACTGCTCAGCAAAATTGGCAATTGTTAAAAAAAAAAGTATAATAAAAGCCTTTCATTTTATTTTAGGATTTTGTTGTTCATTTTTTCATCTTTTTTCTTCTAGTCAGACACAGAGTTTTGGGATAAAATGCAAGCAGAATGGGAAGAAATGGCTCGCAGGAACTGGATTTCAGAGAACCAAGAAGCACCAGGGCAAGTCACCATCTCTACCATTGAAAAGGTAACAACACAAAGTTGTTTTCAAACTGTGCATCCTTTCCATGAAGCTTTTAGATGAGCTTCAGCTGTTCATGGGATCCCAAGAAAACTCTTCTGGAATATGGAAGCTAATTTTATCCAAAAGAACTCATCCTTTTTAAATTGACTGTGAATAAGATAAGATTTGAGAAAGTACCACAGTAAGAATACATTTAAACATGCAGAGTGTGTGAATTCAGCCAAATGGATTGCAAAGCAAACTGCTGGAAAACAGTCGCTCAAGGAAGAGCACCAAGTACTAACAAATCCAGGCAGACACACTCAAACACTCTTCTTCAATCCCTTCCTTGTATGTTTTAATTCAACATATATTATGTAGCTAACATTAGCATACATTCTTTATGCTGCAGTGGCATAAAGAGGAAAAAAGCAAAACTTTTTTTTTAAAAAAAAAAAAAAACAACCCAAAAAACACCCAAATTCAACTCAGGCACCTGAAACACTACTCTTTATCTTGAAAATTAATTGAAGAGTCCAAGACATTAACTGAATAGAGATGAGGCTGCAGGCACTGCAAGGAATCAGCCTCTTGGTTTGCGCTCCTTGTCCTCTTTACCATAGATTGGATGTACTGGGCTCATGCTGGGTTCAATTCTGCTGCTATTACAATGTGAGCTGTTGCTACTATATTTGACAACCAACATAAGTACCGTTAAACATAACTTTAGCAATCAAGCAAATATACAGAGAGCACAAATATAAATGGCCAGTGATGTTTGCTTTTACAGTTTTTGTAATTCAAATTTTACAGGGTAGCTCATCCATTTTTTCATAGAAAAAAATGTTTATGTCCTGTTAGAATACAGTGAATAACTTAATTTTGTAGTTGCTATCCTCCGCTACAGGGCTCAACATGGGTCTCTTCATTCTCTTCTCCTAGGGATATTATTTTCATACAGAAAATCCTTTCAAAGACTGGCCAGGTGCCTTTGAGGAAGGACTGAAAAAAATGAAAGAAGGTGACCTGCCTGTTACAATCTTGTACCTGGAGGCTGCTATTCTACAAGAGCCCAATGATGCAGAGGTATTCACTCTTGTGCTTTCTGTTGACAAAGGAAAGGGGACTCTCTTTAGCATACAAAGACGGCATGGTTTCATGACCCAAAGCTTTGCTAGTCATGGCTGTGGAATAACACATGCTCTGAAATAGATAACGGTGAGCTCTTAAGATGAGAATCTATTTTTGAAATGATAGAATTGCCAAATTGTCATTTAAAAGCATTGAAGAAAAAAGGTATTTGAAATGTTTCATTTCTTTTCCTGATGTTTTCAATCTATAAAACACTACCAATAAATTGATTTAACACGAATTCTAAAATTTTTCTAAAAATTATATCATTTTTCACAACATTAATGAAACCTGAAAAATATTTACAATGTAAGTATACAGATCTCTTGGAATCTATTGCTACAGTAAAACAAGGAGCAGTGTTTCAAAAAGCAGAGAATTCCTAGACCCTCAAGAATCCCTTAAACATACATAACTTAATTATTGTTGTTCAGTGCTTTCTGTAACAGTCTAGCAACATTTAAAATGTACAGTAACTTACATCTGATAAACCAGCATGTGTTTATACACTGACAAAATACCTTTGCATCGACTGATTATAAATATTATCATGCTCAAAGGCATTCAAAACTGCACTGATTTGTACTGTTGACCTGTACACCGTAGAAAAAAACTGTAATTACTGCTGAATCTTTATCTTTATTCTTCTCCCCACTGGAAGCGATACTAATTGTAACTGTTTGCACTTGGGTCTATATAGCAAAACAAGATGATGGTTTGTTTTTTTTTTTTGATTATTTTTGCAGGCCTGGCAGTTCCTGGGCATAACACAGGCAGAGAATGAAAATGAGCAAGCAGCCATTGTCGCCCTCCAAAGGTAGATAACCGCTAAATAAGGGGTCGAATGAGTATTGGGTAATGGAGACCTAGGTATCTTTAACCTCATACTTGTCTTGTAACTTGAACCATTTATTTAACTAAGTAAAGCATTGACACAGGTGTAAAAATCAGTGACAGAGGGTTGATTAGTCTTTCTATTTTATGAAATAAGTGCAATATTTAATCTAATAATGTAATTACTTGCACTGAAGTTGCACGGTCTGATAAACACAAGTTAGGCATAATGCAAATAAAGTACCATTTTGATATCTTAGCCACTTAGCATACTTTCTGTTGTCTGTCCTTTAACAAAAAGGTTGTTGTTTTTTTTTTATTAGAATGAACCACCTCCAGCTGTTGAATACTAATCTGAGAATATCTGTGGTTGATAAAGATACTAGTATGTACAAGTCAGCTCCAAAAATATCAGCATTATTATTACTTCCTCTAGTGGGTTTCCATGTTTCCACTTAAAAAGCACCCTCTCAAAATTCAATTGCATTTGCAGCATTAACCATCAAGATACCACCTACGGATGCTCTCACTTATACCTAGCTTTCGATTTTACCTAGACAGAAGACCAAGGGGTTGCCTGATGCAGGGCTTTTCTATTCCCCCAGTTTTAAAACAGGAGTGATGTTCAAAAAATAGGCCTGATTTTATTTTCAGTTCATGATATACAGCCGTAGAAAGACTATTCCAGTTGACTGGCTCCATCATTATCAAAGAATTACTGAGAATTTAGTATTTGTGAGATGATTCATAGGAAAGTGATTTTTTTTTCTTCAAAATACTTTTTTGCAGAGCTGAAAATCATATTAAACTGTTTGCAGAAATTTAAGTTAAACTTTCTGTTTGCTAGACAGAAAATATAAAGCCAGTCTACCCACTCAACTGACTCATAATGAAAAAGATGAGAGCATTACCTGTGTGCACATATTTATGAATATACACGTGTGTATGCTAAGGTCCATGCATGCACGTTTGTGTACAAATGCATAACGCACTTATCACAAAACAGTAAAACAAAGCCCCTTCTTTAAAAACGTTGTTGGACAGATCTTTTATAAGTGATTTATTTATTTATAGGGACTATTTTGAAAGAACTCAAGAATTGTGGTTGGCTAAAAACAAACAAACAAAAATCCTCAACATATTTTTATTTTCTACCTAGGTGCTTGGAACTGCAGCCAAATAACCTAAAAGCTCTGATGGCACTAGCTGTAAGTTATACTAACACAGGCCATCAACAGGAAGCCTACCAAGCTCTACGAAACTGGATAAAGCTAAATCCAAAGTACAAGTATATAGCGAAAAGCAAAAAAGGGTCCCCAGCACTTACCAGGAGAATGTCTAAGACATCAGATGAAAGGTAAATGCAGTTAAATCCTGCTGGCTGAGATGTAATGACCACTGTAAACAATGGTTCATGCTGTGTCCTTAACGTGCAGAGAAGTCCAGCCTGTTCCCTCTGATGCAAACCCAAAAACTAGATGTCCATAGAGGCAGGGGTAGGAAACAAACAGTACATTCCGTTTAGGGACTGAGGACATTTTTCCATCCACGGAAATTAACATACACTGCAAGCAAAAGACATGTTCTGCTTCAAGTCCCATAACTTTCTAGTAATCCCATTTACCCTGACTGCAGCTTCTTTATTCCCAAATCCTCATTCTACTGCTTCCAAATTCATACCAGGCTTGTATTGCTCTACATGTGTGTTCTTTCTATTGTTCATCAAATTTCCTATATCCCAACCAAGCTACTAGAATCCAGGAACATCAGCCATTTTGCCATGGGACATGGCTTCAGTTCACTGAATATAATTAGGAAGTAGCATCTGCTTGTTTAAAACTCATTTTGTTTTTAAACAAAGAAACAGTGCAGTCATTTTATCTGTCTCTAGCCCAGCATACTGTAATGGGAGCTGGCAACCATTTTAAATAACAAAAGAAATCACGAGTTGGCAGCCCTTCATCATGTTTTCATGAGGCCAATAAATTAATCTCTCTGAAGTTTGAAATTCATAATAAATTCATTAAAGGCATAAACGCCATTTATAGAACCAAAACACTAGTGCTATGTCACTGCATATCATTTCGAAGACAGGCCTTATGTTTTCCCTTATCACTAAGGAGCCTCAGGTTGACGAGATAAGCTAAAATGTAATATGCAAGTTCAGCTTAATTGTTAAGTGTGTTGCTCTACTTCGGCCTCATCACTCAGAACTGACAGTGAGGTTTTATGAAGCCTACAGCACATATAGGAGATGGAAATTTTGGCATCCATCTTCAGGGACTGTGGCCAGTCATTTACAGCTCCAAAAATGGCTACTCTTTTTATGACTGAGAAACCCACCTAATTTCATTAGCTTTAATAAGCATTCATGTTTTCTTACTTGAATTCATAGCTTCACTTTGACTTCATTACACAAGTAAGCTTCTGTATTTCAGAAATGAGTTTGCAACAGGATGGGGAAACGTATCTCTGCTATGATTGAACTCAAGCAGCTTATTTTCAAGTTTATCACTTCTGAAACATCAAGTACTATAATTATGATTTCTAAGATGCAACTTCACGTTATTTTTCACTCTTGCCTAGCTCATTACTTGAAGAAGTAAAAGATTTATACCTGGAGGCTGCTCACCAGAATGGTGACATGATAGACCCTGACTTGCAGACAGGACTTGGAGTTCTTTTCCACCTGAATGGAGAATTTAACAGAGCAATAGATGCATTTAGTGCTGCTTTAACTGTTCGGCCAGAGGTACATTTTATGCTTTTCCATTTTTAAGAACTTAGTTTCACAGTTTTCTTCCTTCCTTCTTGATCAGACCAATATTAATGAGATGCTGCTTCGGTCATTAAAATTTTAACACTTGAAAGAGAAGTGTTAATTATCAGACAGCCCCATTTGGAAGCAGACTTATGTCTGATTTTTAGCTGCATAATGACTAATTGTACTGGTTATTTAAAGTCGCCTATAATCATGAGTCAGAACCTTCCATTCTGTATCAAGAGAGGATATGATATTGTTATTTTCTGCCTTCCTTTGCAATCAAAGATGAACTATTATGTCCCCTATCGACACCTACAGTAGAGAATTCATTTTCTCACCAGGACTATACGTTATGGAACCGTCTTGGAGCAACCCTGGCAAATGGGGATCGAAGCGAAGAAGCTGTTGAGGCTTACACACGTGCTTTAGAAATACAACCTGGCTTCATTCGGTCCAGGTACAATTTAGGCATAAGCTGCATCAACTTAGGAGCATACAGGTAAGTTACAAATACGTGTAAGTGAAAGAGTCAGGGATCATATCTACCAAGTGAAAATTCATTTTCTAGCTGGAGCTATTTAAGAAAAAAATCAGAATACAGTTTAGTTATCTCAGCTAATATATATATATTTTACTAAGCACTAATAAATGAGTACTATTTTGTTTATAGCCATACAACCATCATAACAGAATTACTGAATTTAAAAACTGAAATCCTCCATTCAACAAGCTGCTTAAGCATTTCTCCTAGCTCTAAGTGCAAGTAATCCTACCATCATCTGTGGGATTGTTCTCACACTCAATCCAGTGTTAAAGAGAAAAAAGAAAATACAAAAAACTGTATCTATAAGGGAAACTCCAGTTAAAATGCTTACAGTAGTTAATATTGTCAAAAGTACTTTTAATACAACCTTTAGGAAACATAGGTTTATATTATAGGGGTCCTTACTGTCAGCTTAAGATGTTTAAGATGAAAGAGATCTATACAGCAATAAAGCATACCAATAAAGTAAGGTCTGATCCAGTACAAGTCATGTCCGCTTGTTTAAAGAAAATCAAACAAGAGTAACACAAAAAGGCCTGTGAGGTGCACACACACCTGAGTGTATTTTAAAAAATACACTCAATTCTAGAATGGTATCCTGAAGTTTTATGCTATTTATTAAGTAAACTACATTACATTTTTCTTTTCTTTCCTACAGAGAGGCTGTCAGCAATTTTCTCACTGCTCTCAGTTTGCAGAGGAAAAGCAGGAATCAACAGCAGGTTCCCCATCCTGCTCTATCAGGCAATATTTGGGCAGCACTTCGAATTGCTCTGTCTATGATGGACCAGCCAGAACTGTTTCAAGCTGCCAATGTGGGCGATCTAGACATTCTATTAAGAGCTTTTAATCTAGAGCCGTAATACAAGTATCCACAAATTAAGTTATATTAGGAAGCAGAGAACTCTTTTATTACTCATCTCAAAATGACCACAATTTAAAAAAAGATCACGATTGTAGATCAGTAGGGGAATTCTCTCAGATGTTATTCAAAAAGGAAAAGTTCAAAAGCACAAAATATTCTAAAAATATGCTCAGACTCAAAGGATCCAAATGAGCAGCAGCTGATCTGACAAAGCCCTGAATTAGATGAAGATCTTCATCCCATGCAAGCTTGCTTGCTTTCTCTCTCTCTATATATATACATAAACAGATATATGAAGAAATATATGAAAAACAAACCTAGATAATAATTATCGCACATTAAAATGGCAAGCAGCACATCCAAGGAACCTGCTTAGTTGCTCATCTCACTATACTGACATCACTTTGCCATGCAACGTGAATTTTCCGTCCTTTGCTTTCTCTGAAATATCTTCAAGGTTCATCTTTAACACAGCTCTGAAAACAGATGCATGAAAAAGGGATGTATTTTGTTTTGAATGTATTTATTAGTTGGCAACTTTGCTTCCAAAGGTACCTTGATTAATTTGGGCCAAGTTCGATGCAAACCACGTGTGATATTAACAGAACACTACATGGAGGTCTATGAGATTAGGCCATGTATATATTGAAAGGACAGCTGTTGCAAGCAGAAGCAGTAATTTGCACTAGAATTGTTGCTGTTTAAACCAGCTACCCCTGATCATGGACAGAGAATGTCTGCTTCAAAAGAGCTCACAGCAGGATCTGTCAATGTGTACTTATGCACTTTAATCTTTCTTTTTGTAAAATTGTGCTATGCTTTATTTTTATTTTAATTACTAAAAACAGAATATACAGGATAGCCTTGTCGGCATAGAGGACCAAATATCATTTTCTGAAATGTGATAAGAGGGTTTTCAATATTCTTATGTTTAAATGATGCAGATACAATATAAATCGCAATATCTATTAGAAAGATTATTCTATTATGCATCAGGTACTACATATGCATGCATGTGCATGCACATATTATGTGTATTATGTCATTCAAAACATATTAAGCCACAGAGCACTTTTGCAAATAAAAAGAAGTCTTCGTAGGAGCTCATACCTGCAAAGCATGCTCAAGGGAAAGTTTTTGCAGAAAAGTATCCTCTATTTAATGCTTGTACGATCGGGACTGAGATACAATCCTGCTGCTGTGGCAAACAGTAGCAAAAAGTTTCAGTGACATTTATCACGGCAGGCTAAATGCTTAGATAACATCAGTACTTCCAGCTCCTTAAAAAATATATATGCATTTCATTTTAATTTTTCCCTGCTTGGATGAATGGGGAACAGTATCGAGGGATGGGGCTGCACAGTTACACAACAAATGGATTGATTTTGGTACAATGCAAATAGGCTTAGCTCGAGATAAAGGTGTCAATCAAATACAGGAATACATATATTTCTAAGGGGAGGCATTTTCAGTTATTGGTATTTTTACTACTTTCTCTGAACAGTGGAAAAAACAAATACAATTGGATAGCACCGCACTGATTCATGGTCAGGGATGCGAAGTGCAAGGTAGATACTTGAGTGTGATGAAGTGGAATGAGCAGCACATTTCTTGTAAACAGCAATGAAAACAACAACAAAACAGAACAACTCAACTACTTAAGAAAAAGAATCAGATGCACAAATCACAAAGTAAGAATCTCTGTAAGAATTGAACAGTTCCACCAGTATGAGCTTAAGTTTCTTGCAGCTGTCTGTTATTTTGAGCAACCACTTAAAGGAAAATTCCATCTCAGTTAGTGCAATCACTGCATCTAATTAACAACATAATTGGTTAAAATAATCATTTCTTATTAAAAATAAGAGGCTTACCTCTCATTCATGCCTGCAGAATAGAGGTGCTGAAACAGCTACAAAAATTTTTTAATAGTGTTCTATTAACTCACTGTTTATATACATTCCTATTTATCTATCAAGCATATAATGACAAATTATTTCTTCAATTTTCTCTAAGGACTGGTTATCAAAGACTGCCTTGGAATGACATTTTAGCTAAGCATGCTGCTGTGTGCATATCTGCTGACAACAGTTTGCTCTTTGCTTTGACAGCGATGTGTGATGACAGCCCCGTATCGATAAGGCAGAGCAGAAGGAGCACTGCAATTGAATCTGGGAAGTGATAAGAGGGAAGGGAGGCAGCTTTGAGAAGAGATCGTAAAGCAAAGGCATATGTGCTTAGATTTTGCTTGATGCCCTACCATCACACCGAGTCCTTCCAGAATATCTGCTGTGCTGTGGGATAATTAGGGATTACCCAGACGAATGAGCTGCTCAAAAATTATATTTTTATACCTCTCAAATAAAAAAACTCAAGTCACAATGACAAGGAACATTTGATATTGGTGACAGTTCACTAAACCTCTATTTTTTTCTCTATCACATGTATGACAAACACAGAAATTTTGTTAGAAAATCTTGCTGGGCAGCCCCTGTGCCAGACTTCCCTGCATTCAGTAGCTCTTAGTACTTCTAGGTTCAGGGCTGTGCATACTTCAGTATTCTGGGCCTTACTGTCCTCCTGTAGCTCCCACCATCAAACACTATCAGTGCATAGGACTCCTCATGGTCAGGAGACTGCAGCATATTAACGCCCTAGGAAAGAAGTGCAATCACTGTAATTCTAACCAAGCAAAAGGCAGGATAAATAAGGCTGCTGAACAGTAGCATATTGAGTTTGAGGGTGAGAGACAGGAAATCTGGATCTTCTCATTGCTCCCTGTGAGCTCCCCCCAGTCAACATCTCCTCCTATCCCCTGCTTATCCAGGTGTGCAGGCAGCCACTGTGCACTATAGAATCACACAAAGGCAGAGGAACACTGCTGTCTCACAGAATGTGTGACCCACATAAATTCAGAGAAGGCCACACAAGTATGTGGTTGCTCAGATCCAAGTAAGGAAGCAGTTTTACTTAAGGACTGGAAATTTCAGCAGACATGAGATCCTGAGACACTCCTGGGTCACAACAGCAAAGAATCTACAGGCTGATGCTAAATTAGTGCTGTGATAATTTATCATCACCTTCTCCTCCTGCTTCCCCTTCTTGTTACTCCCCTCTTTCTCCAGAGGTAATGCATCATATCACTACCAGGTAATTGATTCCAAGCTTTTGAGTCATTCCTCTGTTTTACATATTTCAGGCAAGTAAGAAGCACTTTCCTAACCCAAGCTTGTGACTGTCCCTCTCCTCTGCAAAGATTTACAGTATTTATTTATAACAAGTCTGATCCATGAAGCTGCTGAACACTCAAAGTCTGTGGTCTTTGCATGATTAGCTCAAATGCAGTTACCAGATGAGAGCTGCCCTCTGGTACCACTGTATGTGCTGAACAGTAACCAGAATCAAAGGGATTATTTATGGAGTGAGGCTTTACAACAAAAGCAATAGGCTCATTTCTTGCTGGTCTTTTTAAACTGTAATGACTCTAATACCCTTGTTGCAATAGACTGGTTTGTTTGTTTAAAGTGGGGATTTGATCTTCAGGTAAATACAAACATATCTGTATGTAATGGCATTTTCTTAAAATCTGTTAAATCAGAGCACTTCCGCAACTATCCAAGGGAGGTTCCAATAATGCTAAACCTCATATGACAATATTGCATGCAACTACACTAAAAAATAACTGTACTGAAATATAAATACAAAGCATGTAGTGCTGCTACCCAAGTATATGTTTAGAGAATGCATGCAGAGGGTGCACACACAGGGTATTTTTTAATCTATTAATCAATATCTTCCGTGGGATACTTTAAAAGCACTTTGCATCTGCCAAATTCACGACTGAGTTCAGCTTATTTTGGAAAGTTTAAACAAAACAGAGAGTCCTTTTTAAACCTCAACCTCAGAAATCACTGTGTTGTGGATTTCATGTTTAATTATTGACAGACATCTGCAACAAGAGTGCCAGCAGACAAGTTTTGCTATCCTCACAAAGCGCACAGCTTTCACCACGAAGCTGGGTGATTGGATTTGCACGTTTCCTTTACTAGTTAAAATTAGACAGCACCAAACCAGAGAAAAAGATTCCCAGAACCATTGAAGCCACTGTTATCTTGTGTGCACTCACCATGGCCAGGCTTCTCAAGCTTGCCCGCTAGCTCTGATGGCTGCCTGTCCCTCCGACTGTTCTGGTTTAAACATTTAGATGTAAAACTTCACAGAGCTGACAATCTCCTGCATCCACCAATTTCAGCTGCGGATGCCTGACTCATCTGAAAGCTCAGCACAAATAACTGAATGGGTCAATTTAGAAAACCTGGGCTTGTCCGTCAGGCAGGCAGGAGGATCTCAGCAGCACCAACAGATCAGCCAGATGATCCTACCAACATTTGTAGAGCACAGGCCTCCATGGCAGGAATAATAACTAAGGAACTACTGGCAGCTAGAGGCCTAAATCGTTGTCTGTCAGAGCCAGTGAGAATTGGGACTGTCACACAGATTGGCCGTAGGTCTCTCTTGCCTGAACACGTGTCTGCAAAATGAGACATATTAATTACTTCCCATGATAACCTGCACAGTTAGAGAGATTTCTGGTCAACAGTGTTGTTAATTTTGCAGTCTGTACAGTGAGTCTATGTTGTAACTGCTTATAATACTGAGCATTTACGGATAGAAGTGGCAGAAAAACGCACTGCACGTTGTGAAAATAATTGGTGGTTTAGGCCATATGAAATACAGTATTATCTATTATACAAACCTCATCTAGGCTAGAAATCAGATTATTTCATTATAGTTCTATTCCTGGACTGCTGACATATATCAGAGACAAGAGTACCATATGCATGAAGTGACCACTGATGCTTTGAAGAAAACTAAGCAAGAGGAAAAACAAGCATGCCACAGAACTCACAGAAGGTGTCAGAGCTTCAGCCCACAAGCAATAGGTACTATGCATGGGAGAGAGACAGAAGGAATACTAAGCTGTAACTTTACAAATGCTTGCACGTGTGACAGCAAGCTTGCACGGTCAAGACTTAACGTGCTTTGATCTTTTTTTTCCCCTTCCACATTTACAGACTGTCGATGACATTGGCTAGAACTTTAATTTCAACAGCCTTTTTAATATCAACAATTATTGTAAATTCAGAAAAATCAAAACATTTATAAATATATTTTATATATCAGAGTATAACATATCTAAAGTAAAATAAAACTATATAGTTTTGAAAGGCATTCTGTGCAGCTGCTTCTATACACTGTAAACTGTTTGAAAACCTTTGCAAACTTGCATCCGTTTTTTTGGCTTTATTTTTAAGCCAACGTACAAGAAAGAAGAGTCTGTAGGGTTGGCAGATACTTTCACCTGTGCTATCTGAAAAGCTGTGCTGCTGTGCAGACTTGGTGTGTCACATTTCCTGTTGGTGGGCAAGTATACGTGCAAGGCATCGCAGTGAAGTGGATGCAGAGGTGGGAGTTCAGCCCTACTCCTGAATGTTTACATTCTGTTACAAAGGTCCATACAGACTCAGACTGAGAATCTGAGTCTGCAAGAACGTATGGAGTTTTAAAATGTTTCTTATGACAAATAACTCACCTCTCTATTCCCAGTGCATTATCAGCTGTGTACAATATTAAACACAGAACTGTAGTTTACTGACGCTTTAATTTGTTGTTCCCTTGCACTGCTCTTTAAAATAGTTGATTTTTGAGGAAATAGATTATTATGTGCATATTGGATGTGTTAAATTTATTAAGCTCATAGTTACTATTTGCAGAGCACCATTTAATGTAGTATTTTTGTACTGTAATGGAAGCATGCCTTCCTTGGGTTCTTTTCCACATAATAAATTGTATTTATTTATCTGTATTTATATCTGTGCAATTTTTAAATATGTTTTAAAAAATAAAACTTTGTCTGTGGCTTCAAATATTTCCAAATATTTCGCTTCTCCATTTGTAGAAGGTTTTCATTTCAAGTAATTGAAGTCAAAAGTGGGACCCCTTCAAGAGAAACAAAGGATTTTTAATCCAAGGCTTCTTTCCTATCATTTATGATGTAGCTGTGCTTCTCTGCATAAACACTAAGCCTAGAAGATGTTTTTTTCCTAACCAGAAGATTTTAATTAATTCATCAAGTTGCTCTGATGCTCTTTGTTTGTTTGTTTTTTTCCCTTTTTAAATTCCTTTTGTTTAATTTATTTTTAAATATTTCAATTATACTTACAACTAGAATTCATAGCAGCTGAGGACTGGACCGAGGGGTTTTGCACATAGGCTCTGTACAAGGAAAATGGAAAGAAAAAAAAAAGTATGAGAATTTTTCCTGAAGATTATGCAACTGTACACTTCAAAATAAAAGCAGAAGTAATGTTATGGAACAATCCTTCTGGAGGGAAAAAAGAATAAACAAACACCAAAGCCAACTTCAAGTGATTGACAGACTTGCAGAGGAAGGGCTTTTTGCGAACAGTTTTGCTATCGGAGACTGATGTAAGCACAGATGTGAGACAAGGACAGATTCCTGTGCCCTGCTGTAGACAGAGCAGCTGTGACACTTACAGCAAAGGGCCACTAAGAAACAAAATTAAAATGTATCTGAGTACCTGTTGGCAAAGCCAGCAGACATGATAGGCCAGAAAAACAAAAAGCTAGCAAACAAAAAAACCAGACAAAACCAGACAAACAAAAGGATAACAAATAGGAGCTAGTGCCACAGTTTGCTTGTGGAAGGCAACCTCTTGTCAGAAAAGCCAGCTAAGCAGCCTTTCACTACAGAAGAAAAGGGAACAGACAATAAAAACTCACTAACTCTTAAGTTGAAAGTAGTTGTGCTCTTGAGAATAGTGTTTTGCCAGGAGATGTTCTGGTTAGTTTTTGTTGCTCGGATGTACTGACAAAGAATAAGCAGCAATGTCTATTAGTTATGTGCTCCACAGCACAGACCAGGGACACAGTAGTGCAGTCTTGAAGGCAAAGCAAGAGAGCAGCTGGGAGGAAATCCTACATACAGAACTGCTAAAAAATAAGAACACCTTTAAAGGCACAACATAATCACTTACTGCACACCAGCTGTCAGACATGCAATGTCTCTGGTATGGTTACAGAACTCATCTTTCATCACAGCAGACAGTGCCATGCTTATCCATGTCAAGCCTGTAGCACACCTGAGAGACAGAGAGGTGTTATTTCCCACTCTTGTGAGGAGGAGTAGAGCACAGAGGTGGTATTCACCTGTCAGCTACTTAATACTGCCTTCTCCAAGCAATCTGCAGAAGTCAGCAGGCACAGCTCCTGCATGTTACATCACCGTGTGAAGTCTGAACAGAGCCCTAAACTCTGCCACTCAGCTTGCAGGAGGAACCACGATCCCTCACCTTGTTCCAGTTGCTGCAAGTGGTAGCAGTGTGGTGCAGAGCGGCCTGCCATGGTCACAATGGACATCTGTGATAAAAGGAACCAACAAATATTACATTTGGACTTCCAGGATTGAACCATCTTTACCTTTCTTGTCATCACTCAGTACTTAACATGGCTCCGACTTCCATGTCAGAAAAAGCCACTTAAGACCTGGAAGGTTTACCTCTCACATCTCCTCTGGCTCATGGCCCCATGATCCTGTGAAAAGATGAAAGGGTCACCATCCATCAGACTCCTTTTTTGGCCTATTCCTCAATCTACCAAAGATCCCAATGGTCATGCCGCTATGCAAATTTATTGCATGAAAGGAAAAATAAAACCACCAGACCTCTGCTTTATTGATCAGCAGGTCAAATTCCAAAATGAATATGAGGAACTACAGACCAAGATAAAGCTTTAACTGAACAGCAGGGACCAGGGTAAAATGATGGCAGAGTTCATGCGGAAGAGTGCTAACTCTCGTGTTCAAAAATGGCAATTGGCTTAAAATGTACAAAAAATTAAACTTAGTTTAAATCTTATTTTCTAGTTTTGTCATGGTTTATATTCACCCAGGACTTGGGTTTTTCTTTGTTTTGTTTTCTTTTTTTCTTCTTCTTTAGAGGAGATCCATTTATTTATCTGTTGCCATCCAAAAAACTGCCATGAGTCACAAGAGATCAAGCCCCTTACAAACTCCCGTTTCCCACGCACGTTTTTATGTAACACATCAAACATCACCACAGAAAGTAAGAAAAGAGGCAGCACCAAAACATACTTGGTTTGCTCCTCTCGAGTTTGGACAGGAGAGAAAGAAAGAATCCACACAGCCACAAGATGTGAGAATATTTCCTTTTTAATTTAAAACAGTTGCAACAATACCATTCACAACCTTTCTCATCTCAAATACTCTCAAAAACATTAACAGTGCTTCAAGCGAACAACTCCGAATGGTGCAAAGTCAACCAGCACAGACACTTCCAGGATACAACAGTAAAACCTCTGAAGAGTGAATAGAAATCAGAAGCTGATCTCAGCCATTAAGGTAGGAAGGGATATAGGAAAAGAATAAAAAGTGACATCTAGTTACATATTTTGCATAGTCTTTCAATGCGTGAAAACAGCAAAAATAAAAATGGCTGCTGCCAGGATTGAGAACAAAAAGAATGGAGATGCTTCTAAACAAGCCAGTGAACTCCAGCTGCATCCGTACTCAGAATGTGCACAACTCAGTGGAAGCTGCCTGAGGCAGAGAAACTGCGCTGATCCTGGTTTCAGTTACACCACTGCCAGTCAGAAGTAACACCACCAAACCCAACAGAATTACAAGTGGAAAGAGTCCAGAAATATCTGGACTTGTTTTTAAACCATAGCACTGAATAAATTAATTTATCTTAATTGTATACCAGCTAGGAAGATTAAAAAGGACTCAGTGTCTACATGTGTTTTGGACACTGGCGATTGTTACTCAGAATAAAAGCTGTACAGGATCCTGCATGCTGCTAGGAATAAAAGAACCAAGTTGACTTTCTCTCTTTTCTACTGCCCCAACATAAACTTTTCATACAAAAAGGTAAAAATCTATTAAAAAAACATCAGCACTATTTGCCGCCAAGTCCTGGTTTGCCATAATTCTCAGGTCAGATTGTCTCAAGCTGCTCACAGTGATTGTTCCTCCCCCACGCTTTCCTATGAAGAAGCTCTCAGCACACCCATCCCTGCAACAGCCACTGCAGCACCCAGACAGAGTTCCCACATCAGTCACCACCCAAGTTGTGAATGGAGACCAGGCCCAACACAATTAACTGCACAGAAATTCTAGCATGCAAAGCAATCCTGGCTTCATAACTTAGTCATCTATTCCTTACAGCCTGATTGTGTCTTCTGCATGCTGAGGTTAAAAATGAATGCTTCTCTCCCCCATTATGCTGGTGAGTCAGGGATTCACATCCTGCTCCTCCAAACCATATTGTCCCTGGTACATATCCTACCATAAACTGGAAACAACTTAACTGTTCATCTGGAAAAGGAAGGAATCCACTACTTTGAGAAATAAGAGAAAAACTCAAACAGCAGAGAACCTGAACATATTATTAAGTGCTACATTTCAGCAGGACTGTAAGCCTTTCCCATAAATTGCTCCCCACACTTCTGACCCACTCGCTAGGTTAGGAAGGCACTACACAGGAGTGCTCAGCTGAAGAGAACTTCAGAAGCCGACGTGCTACCATTCATCTGTCACAGCCAGATAATAGCTCTCCTCTTTCATCTACCAAATCATTTATCACCCGCCAGCTTCCTAAAAACCCCCAGCTTTCAATGTACCCCACATATTAACTGAAACCAGTATCAGTCCCACAACCATTTCTGATCTGGGATGCACAAGACAAATTGTTTACAAGAGTCCAAGCTCCATTTTTAATCCTGTGAGATCAGCCATATTTCCAGTTTAATAATGAACATGGTAACAACTCTGTTGACTTTTACTTACCCCAGGGTCTCTAAATAAAAGATAATGGCCACCAGCTCATGGCAGTTTATAAATAGCCCTTTAAGATCGTAAGGCAAAAGGGAAGCTGTTGTGTTGAACATTTCTTGGGATATAACTAGGCATTAAAAAAAAAAAAAAAGCCTTTTGTCCTTTTTCACTGCCAGAATGAAAAAGCACAAATATAGATACAAGAATGTTTTGT